CTAGCTCTTGTAGACCAGGCTGGTCTTAAACTCACAGAGATCTGCCTGCCTCTGCTTCCTGAATGCTGGGATTAAAGGCGTGTGCCACCAGCGCAGCTGCTTTTAATTTTTTAAACTAAGTTTGTATTTATCTTGTGCTTGTGCTGGGAGCATGCCACAATGAATATCTGGAAGTCAGACTGTGGGATTCAATTCTTACCTTCCACCATATGCTTCCCAGGGAAGGCAAACCCTTCGACCACTTAGCCATCTTAGAGGCCCTGCTTTAGGTTTCTGTTTTTGAGACCTAGTTTCACCATGTTGCTCAAGATAGTATGAAATTCAATATGCAGCCCAGGCTGACCTCAAAAACATGGCAATTCTCTGGCCACCACATCCCAAGTGCTGGGGTTATAGGCACACACCAACCATTCTTGCCTAGGAGGTGTTGCTGTTGTTGTTTATCTGTTTGTTTTGCTATCCTCCCTCTTTGGGTCAAGGAAGCATTTGGGAAAACAAAGATTAATTTATTTTTATGTATATGAGTGTTGTGTTCCCAAGCATGCCTGGTTCACATGCAGGTCAGAAGATTGCACCAGATCCCCTGGAACTGGAGTTATAGACAGCTGTGAACAGCTATCTGGGTACTGGGAATTGAACCTGGTTCCTCCGCAAGAAAGTGCTCTTAACCTCTGAAGTATCTCTCCAGTCTCCAGCAGGTGGTTAAAGAGAACTTCCTGTTCACTAATTTAAAATCACTTTTCCAAGGGCTCAAACTCAGATCTGCTCGTTCCATAAGGAAAACAGATTTGTTTGGAGGCTGAGGTTAAACAGGTCTTGGTAGACAAATGCTTTTCATTCTCAAGGTCAAAAGAACTGAGACAAGCAGCCAAAATGTCTGAGCCCTAGATCTCTTTAGCTGTACCATGGGTGAACGGTAGGTTATCCTGAGAACCCAGTGGTTGACTTAGTGGAGGCTGTGGAAGATGGGAAGTGAAGGAGAGTCAGTGACTCACACCCAGATAGGTCTCCAAACTATCTAGGTGAAACTGCCCACTACCATAAGAGTGAGAGAAGGAAGCAGCTTTCTTTTTAAGTCTATCTTGTTTGCTTGTTTGAATACTTGCTTTTCCCATAGCAGAATGATGATGTTTGGTCTTAGCAATTAGAACGTTCCTAGGTAGCTATCGATGGAGGGGTTAACCCTGGATAAGGGGTTAGGTTGTTAGGTTGGAAATACAGCTGGAAGCTTGTCAGCATAAAAGAGGTGCTCTGAACCCATGAATGCTGGGAAACACCCGCAAGTTGTAAAAGAACACTGAGGAATGCTGGGACCAAGTGGGAGCAAGGGAAAACTGCATTAGAAAAGCACACGGTCACAGAAACAAAGGCTGTTCCAAGAAAGTAGTGGGATGGGTCTAGAGTCAAGTATATTGGAGGAAGAAGTCAGATTCACTCTTGACCCAACCTGAGGTGTCGGTGATGTCAGTCCTGTCGCGGGGCAGCGTGGGGGCAGCATGGATATGAAGGATTCGGAGGGCCACCTCAAGAGGCACTCTTATTTACAGGTTGGGCCTCAGCAGGAGGTGCTGTTTGGGAGATCTCAAAACTGTAGCGGGAGGACTTAGCTGAAAGAAGTAATCACTCTGTGTGTGTGTGTGTGTGTGTTCTTGAGGGAATCTTAACCCTGGCCCTTCCTGTCTCACTTTCTCCGCTACCACTGCTTTCTCTGCTATTGCCTACCATGAACAAACACCTCCCCTTGGCCACTCTCCTGTTGACAGAATGTTTTGCCCAAGCATCAAGCATGTGAGGCCAAGAGACATGCATTTTATTTTTTAGGCAATGGGCAGCCATTAAATGATATTAAGTAGGTTATACCTGCTCGGGCCTTGAAGGGCTATATTGTACTGTCCAATATGAAATTCACAAGTGACTATTCAAGTATGCCTAAGGACTTTAAAAGTAGTGTCATTAAGGAACTAACATTTAATTATTTTAAAAACTGATACACAATCTGGTTGCCCAAAAAAGTGGTATGTATGTTTGGAACAATTAGGGTATGTGAATTTCTTTTTTGTCTTCTTTGAGACAGGCTCTCATATAGCCCAGGCTAATCTCAAACTCATTGTGAGGCTCCTTTTGAACATCTGCTCCTGCTTCTGGCTTCCAAGTGCTGGGATTACAAGTGCTCCCTATGACCCAGACTTTGAATATATCTTTTGAACTGTAGGTTTAAAGGAGTCTAAATATAGGACAGTATGTTCAAATTTTTAACAGCCAAACTGAAATGAGATAGAAGTTTAAAATAACAAATTTTGAAGACTTAATACAAATAGTTGAAGCCAAGTGCATGCCTACAATCTCAACACTCAGAAGGCTGAGCAATGACTGCTGAGTTTAAGGCTAGCCTGGGCTATACTGCAAGTATCAGGCCAGCAAGTTCTACATAACAAGATTCTATCTCAAAAAAGAAAGAAGGAAAAGAAGGAAGGAAGGAAGGAAGGAAGGAAGGAAGGAAGGAAGGAAGGAAGGAAGGAAGGAATCACAGCTGGCAGTAATATTTTGAATATATTAACAAAAACATTGGTCAGATGGTGGTGGCACTCGCCTGTAATCCCAGTACTCAGAAGGCAGAGGCAGGAGGATTTCTGTGAATTTGAGGTCAGTCTGGTCTACAAAGCAAGTTCCAGGACAGTTAGGTCTGTTACACAAAGAAACCGTCTCAAAAAACCAAAAACTGAAAAAAATAAAGTCATACTTGAGACATCAACTTTTTCTATTTGCGATATATTTTCAATAATCTTGTTTTTTAAACTTTTCCTGTGTGTGTGTTTCTGCGCGCACATACGCATGTGCACACATACGAATTCCTGCATTCGCGCACATATAGATTTCTGCATGTGGAGGTCAGAGGACAACAAGCAGAACTCCTGCTGTGTGAGTTCTGGGGATCAAAATCAGGTCATTAGGCTTGGCTGCATGTGGCCCTATCTACCAAGACATCTCACTGGCCCTCGAGGCTGCTAACGAACGGATACGCCTGGGTATGCCATTACACATCTGGAAACACCCATGAGGCTGGCTTCATTTAACTCTTGGATAAAGTGCAGACCACTACTCATCCTTCATGCGCCTTAAAGACCTCTGACAGTTCCAATCAAGTAGTGATATCCAGTCAGGAAGCAAGTGCTGGCAGACTATGGGGGGGGGGGGGTATCTGAGCAGTGAAAGTTTTCAAAACTTTCACTCAAAGGCAAGCAAATAAAAATGTTCTGGTTGTCTCTAACATGTACTCACTACCAGATATGAACTTAGCAGCTTGAGTGTTAAAAACTTCAATTCTGCCAGGCTGTGGCGGTGCACGCCTTTAATCCCAGCACTCAGGAGGCTGAGGCAGGTGGATCTCTGTGAGTTTGAGGCCAGCCTGGTCTACAGAGTTAGTTCTAGGACAGACTCTAAAGAGAGACCCTGTCGCGACAAAAAAAAAAAAAAAAAAAAAAAAAAAAAAAAAAAAAAAAAAAAAAAAAAAAAAAAAAAAAAAAAAAAAAAAAAAAAAAAAAAAAAAAAAAAAAGAAAGAAAGAAAGAAAGAAAGAAAGAAAAGAAAAGAAAAGAAAAGAAAAGAAAAATAAGAAGAGACGACGACCCTTCAACTCTGGGGCTGGTGAAATGGCTCAGCAGGCAAAGGTGAAGACTTGCCGCCAAGCCTGAAGACTTGAGTTTGATCTGAGACCCACATAGAGGAAAGTGAGAAGGGACTCCTCTAAGTTTTCTTCTGACTTCCATGTGTGGCATAGCATTCACACACACACACACATGCACACACACAAAAAATAGAAAACAAAACAAAAAACCCTTCCATTCAAGAAAAAAGCATACAACTCTAAATTAAAAAGCAAAAAAACCAAAGAAGACATCCTAAACCAATTCCCTAATAACACATTTTCTAGGCAGGTAAATTTTACTGTTGATCTATATCTCCCTATTCTCCCATCTAAATTAAAGCAAGGTGAAAGAAAAACCCTTTTACTAAAATGTTAAGAAACAGTCTTAATAGATTTGATTGTATACACTATGGATAATAAAGTATCTCATCTAAAATACCATTTAAATTTTCCCAGTACCTTTAAGTATAAAAACAACACGCACACAACCGATCAGCTTTTACCACTGCACAGATAAGATGCAAGGAGCAACTAGTTAAAAACAAAGAACACTTCACAGTCAGTAGAACTTCTCCTCTCTTAACTTTGCAGTTCTCAGATTTTTGACATTTCTCTGACATTCAAAGCATAAAGATGACATGTTATTAGAAATAGGTTGCGACATCATAATTGCGCTTTCTTGCATTTGTGTAATGACTACAAAGTTGAGACAACGAAGTACAATTGATGTTTCCATCTCCCAAAAGACAATCAAAGATGGAGTCAAGACAGCTCCCTCGCAAAAAGAGGGCAGTAGGCTTCTGAAAAGCAGAACGTGAAGTGAGGGAAACCTGTCAAACGCTCAGGACGAAACCAAGGAGTTCAAAAGAAACACTCATTTCCTTCGATACGGTGGGAAAATCCCGGTGGCTCACAAAAAGCCTCGGAAAGTTTGGTTTGGCTGATTGCATCTTGTTTTCCTTCCAACATCAGTACCGGGCCTGGAGGACTTTTCCTCCCCCGGGAAGCCGCGCGTCCTCCCGCACCCAGATCCCGCACCGGCTGAACGCCTCCGGGCAAGCCGCGGGGTGCCAATCCCGGGCTAGCTCCGCGACTCCACAATGGAGATCGCCCCCGCGCACGCCCACTCCAGGAGGGCCATTTCCCTTTTCCTGCCCAGATGCTGTCCGCCCGCTCCAGCGCGTCGCTCCCCACCTGCGGCGCGCGACCCCGAGGAAGTGGCCGTGCGGGCCGAAAGGAGGACTCCCGGGGGCCCAGCCCCGGAGGACGCGCGGTGTCGGGGTGCAGAGGCTGTGTCACCCTGCCTCGATTTCCCTCCCTTCCCCCTGCGGCGACAGTCCTCGGCCCACACTCACCCTTTCACCACAAAGAAGGGGTCCTCCATGGACATGGCGCCCGGCCCGGCAGCCCGAGCCTTCCCTGAGGTCTCCCGCGGCCAGCCCCTCGGCCGGGGTGACCCGGAGCAGCGGTGGGCGCAGTCCCGGGAACCCGACGGCCGGCGGTCCAGCACTCGGTCAGCGCCGTGGGTCGAATCCCACTCCAAGCCGGCCCCCACGGCAGCCTCCTCCCCCGGCACCTCCGGCGCCTAGCCCCGCCCCCAGGACACTCGCCGCGACCAATCAGGAATGCGTACCGCAGCTCCACTTCCGCACTCTGGATCACGTGACCCAGATCGCCCAGGCGCTGGGCCAAAGGGGGGCGGGGCTTGGTCTAGCGTCTCTGGGCCCAAGAGGTGGAGCTCTGGGAAGTAGGGGAGGTCGTCTGCCTCCGCTGGAAGAAGGCTATGGGGATTTTAGCTGTTGATGAGTCTTATTCGCATAGACCTCTTATCTTTCCTCTACTTTTAAAGACTTGCTTTTAACGCTGTGTGATTTACATGCCCATCTCTTCCTCGACTTGCCCTGTAAGATTCTCAACCTGATTATGGTAAAGTCTTACATAGTGTGTAAAGGCTGTATAAACATCCTCAATACTCTTTGGGGGACGATGCTACTGTTTTTATTTTATGAGGCTTCAGTCTCTCCTGTATAGGGTCATACGACCCATACATCACAGAACCATAGATCCTGGGCACTTTCCCCAAAATGAACAGTATCTTTTGAAATACCTTCTGAAAATGAACTTCCCAGACAAAGGAGCCAGTCAGGGTAACTTCCTCTCAACTATGATTCCTAAACGTCCAGAAAAATTTTATCTGGCACACTTAGTGAACTGGCATATTTAACACGCAGTCCATAGCGTTCATTGTTAAGTCCTCTGACCTTTCATTGCTGATAACCATTGGGCACTTACTGTGTGCTGGGCAGGATTCTAACTTACTTTATTACCTTCAGAAATTACTGTGATTTATTATCTGCATTTTATGAATGAGCTTTTTGAGACTCTGAGGTGAAGTGACTTGTCCAAAGCCTCTAGTCTCTTTGGAGCTTGCATCAAACAAATCTCTTTTGAACCTGTAGTCCTTCATTCGATCCCTCATCTTTAAAATGTACACAAACCAGGCAGTATGGCGCACACCTTTAATCCCAGCACCCGGATCTCTGTGAGCCCAAGACCAGCCTGGTCTACAGAGCAAGTTCAAGGACAGCCCAGGCTAACAGCGGGAAGGTAAACAATATCCAGCTCTTCTGTTGTTCTGTAAACTCTGAGGCCCCAAAGGAGGAGGCGGTACAGTCAAGGACACCTGAAGGAAACTGTTGTTCAGAGGACAGCAAGAAAGACGGAAGGGAAGGATGAATCTGACAGATGTTTCCCACGGAAACAAAGCAGAGTATGAACATAATGGGAGAAGGGGGAGGAGAAGAGAGAGAAGTCAAAGTCGAAGACAGAACTGAGGGAACAGTGGGTGGTGGATGTGGGGGGGGGGTGCTGGGAGAGTTGCAGGCTCCGGTTACCTACAGACTGAGATGGGGAGATAAACATGCCCATGTGACCAAGACAGGTAATTGAAGGACAGATGGGCCCAGGGGCTCCAAGTGATACTTGGAGCCTGATCCTTGAGTTTCAAACCTCAGCTCTGCTACTCTCAGCGGCTGTGTTTGAGCAGAGCCCCTAATTGTTCGCTGTCCTTACTGTGAATGGGTGCCATAGTAACATCTTTCTCCAGGCCTGAAAAGGCCTTAGGACAAAGCCTAGTGCACCTGTTCAAGGAGGACTCGGAGCTGAATAACCCTAGCCTCCAAGGAGCTCTTGGGCCTGTGGGGAGGAGCAAACAGGAAACCAGAGAAATACATTGTCCAGATAACAGAGTTGAGACACTAGTGTATTTGTAGGTGGGTAGGGGGTGGGGTGGGAGCTTCCTAAACAGTGACTAATGCAGGTGGGATCAGTGATGTAGACCAGCAGAGCAGCCTCCTGAAGCCAGAGCAAAGAGCTTTGCTGGAGTGTCGGTCGCAGCAGGGAGACACAGTCCAACGTGGTGGCTGCCAGCAGCCTGAGTCATTCCCTTTGCTGCTCAGGACCTTCAGTCAGGTACACTCAGAATCTTAACTATACCTCAGGAAGATTTTCAGGATGAACTGTAGTGAAAGCAAGTTAGTAAATTTACTAAGTATTTAGAAATCAAGTTGTACAGGAAAGGGGCCGGCAGAATCCCAAGGCTCACATGTGGGCTTCTCCAAGGAGAGTCATACTTGGATGTCTACACAGATGACTCTGTGGCTCTGAGAAGTTTGAACTGCTCTAAGGTTGTAATTTACTGGGTTTAAAGATTCAGCAAAGTCTAAAATTTAAAGTTTAAAAGTTGAGTAGTTATATGAACTTGTTTCTAAATAAGGTTTTTGGTAGTAAATGAAGCTGTAAAGTGATTTTATGAGGTGCATTGTTTAGATTAGGGGTGAGGGATCTGGAGCCATCTCAGTGGATAACAGCCCTAATTGCACTAGGGTGGTGGTGGCGCAGGCCTTTAATCTCAGCACTCAGGAGGCAGAGGCAGGTGGGTCTCTGTGAGTTCAAGGCCAGCCTGGTCTACAGAGTGAGTTCCAGGATAGTAAGGGCTACATAGAGAACCCTTGTCTTGAAAAACCAAACCAAACCAAACAAAAATAGTTTCTCTTGGGCTAGTGAGTAAAGGTACTTGCCACCAACCTGAGGTCTTGAGTTCTGTTCCCAGAGTTCACATCATAAAAGGACAGAGCTAACTGCTGAAAAATGATCTCTGGCCACTCTAGTTGCTTTTTTTTTTTTTAAAGCTTTTTTATTATATATATAGTGTTCTGCCTATATTTGTCCCTGCAGGTCAGAAGAGGTCACTGGATCTTGTTATAGATGGTTGTGAGCCACCCGTGGTTGCTGGGAATTGAACTCAGGACTTCTGGAAGAGTGACCACTGCTCTTAACCTCTGGACCATCTCTCCAGTCCCATCATTTTTTTTAACTCTTTGGGGACCCTCCACTCAGCTCCCAAATAAATACATAGAAACTTAATGCCCTGTCTTAGCTTAGCTTATCTATAGCCAGTTTTTCTTAACTTAAATTGTTCTATCTTGTTGAAATAGGAGAGGCGGGGCTGCGTCCCCAGCACCCCGGCCGCCTGCTAGCTTATGCCCTGAAATAACAACACACAAACTGTATTCATTTAAACACTGCTTGGCCCATTTCTATCTAGCCTCTTCTCAGTTAACTCTCGCACCTGGACTAGCCCATTTCTAATAATTGTTTGTAGCACCCCAAGGTGCGCTTACCGGGAAGATTCTAGCCTACGTCCATCCTGGGTCGGAGCTGCCTGGGAGAGCAGAGCCTGGCATCTCTGCTCCAGAGAGCAGAGCTGTCAGGTCTGAGCTCACTTCCTCTTCCTCCCAGCATCCTATTCTGTTTACTCCACCCACCTATGTTCCAAGCTAGGAGGCCAAGCAGTGTGTTTATTACTTAACCAATGAAATCAACAGATTGATATATGACACTCCCACATCACTATCTCTTGCCTCTGGGTTTTTACCTTTCTCTATTCTATATACTTCTCTTTCTTTCTTACTCCATGTCTGGCCCCTGGTCCCATCCTCTCCTTCTCTTGTTCCTCCTTCCTTTTGTTCTATTTATTCTCTCTGCTTGGCAGCCCTGCTTATTTCTCTCTCCTGCCTAGCTATTGGCCATTCAGTTCTTTAATAGACCATTCAGGTATTTTAGACAGGCAAACACAAGTTCACCAAGTTAAGCAAATGCAACATAAAATAATGCAATATATCTTTGCATCATTAAACAAATATTGCAGAGCATAAATGAATATAACACATCTTCAACTAATATTCCACAACAGACCACCACATATTCATTGTGCTGTTATGCACAAGTACACACACATGCACATGTAAATAAATGTAAATTTTAAACAAAATTAAAATGAACAGACTAGTTCATTGGCTGTGCTTAACATCTGTATTGAGATGTCTTTAAGAAAATCACATTATCTTTGTAAGCAATTCTTTTATCCTTTGTGTTGGAGGTCCTTGGTTCTGTCAGCAGGAAAGGCACATTAGATCCCAGGGCAGAGAGGGTCTTTTTCGAGTGGTTCATGAATTCCCCTTGTATTTCTTTCATGCCTTAGAAGGAGCAGACAGCAGGAGATAAGGCTGTAGGTGGACAGGACTAGCTGGTTGGAAGCACTGAGTACTGAGTGTTCTGTCCTGTAAACCTAGGAACCGAGAGAGATGGCTGGGTCAGACTGACTATGGTGGCTTGAATGAGAATGGCCTCCAGACCCTCCTACATCTGAATGCTTGGTCTCTACTTAATGGAACTGTTTGGGAAGGATCAGGAGGTGTGGCCTTGTTGGAGGAAACATGTGGACTTTGAATTTCAACAGTCCACGCTATTCCCAATTAGTGATCTCCTCCCCCTCCTCTGTTGTTTCAACATGTAAGCTCTCAGCTACTATTCTAGCTTTATGCTTACTTGCCGGCTGCCACTATGTTCCCACCATGATCATGGACTCTATAGCCTCTGGAACTGTGAGCCCCAAACTAATTGTTTTATTAGTTGCCTTGGCAATGGTGTCTCTGCACATCAATAGAAAAATAACTAAGACACTGGCACTGAGACAGATGGTACAGTGGCTAGAAAGTCACGGTCCAGAGGATGGAGGAGGAGATCATGAGCCAGTGTGGAAATGAAGACCTAGAGGGAGGATGCATTTGAGAAGAGGTATGGAGACCATAGCGGTAGATGTGGTTGGTTCCTGATGAGGAAAAGATGGTAAAACAAGGATGAGAAGGAAGGGGTTTGGACAGAGAAGGCATGCAGGGTCTGGAATTGTCGGTGAGTAGCACTTAGTTGTATCCCCAAGAAAGAGACTCCTACTATTTGGAAAAATGAGGCAGTCAGTGGAAGTAGGGGATAAAAGAGGCTAATGGGACAAGAAAGAAAATGACCCAAATACATTATATGCATATATGAAAATGTCACAATGAAACAAACTATGTCTAATATATGCTAATAGAAACTTAATTTTTTTTAAAAAAAGACTCCAGAAGGTGACCTGATTTAGGGTATGTATATATATGCTTAATGTATGTTGGTCTTTCCCAACAAACTAAGCTTCTGGAGGGTCTGGGTACTATGTAAATGTCATCACCATA